TACAACACACAAGATTATATGTGCAACCACACAACTGACAGCTACAGAGCAGACGTCTGCAGGGCTGTCTCCCCTTTGAAAATGCTAATACAGCTGACACTGTGTTAACTTTTTTTCTCTTTTCTGTGAGCACAAAATGAAAATGCAAAGTAGTTCTTTGAAAAGCATGGAACAGACATCTGCTTTAGATCAAGATCATCAGCAGAGCAGCATTAAGACTTGCCAAGCAGTCATGAAGGGTCTTGCCAGGCACAGGGAAAACCAAACATGGACTGTACCAGCACTGGCACATCTTCCTCTACAGTGGATTTCTGTTGCCAAAATAAGAATCCTTTTTCATCTGGAGGTGACTGATTCAAATGCATCTCAGGCCACTAGACTGTGCCTCCAGCCCCAAAATACTCCATGATCAGTCCTATTGACAGTAAAGGGTTAGAAGGTATTAACAATCTCTGCAGGATCCAAGCTACAGTCATGAGCACCCACTGGCTGTTTCTGGACCATGTACAGTAAAACATGTTGACAATACCAACCTAGCTGGTTATAGGCAAACAACAGAAACAAATTAGTACATAAAAACTACTGATCACTTATTGATCATTTACTGATCATTTACTGATCAATGATGACTGACGATTATATCTGTTTTCCTGCCTGACAAAAGCCCTTGAATTCCACCTGCTGCTTCTTCTTTCAGCCTCACAATCTGTGTTACATTTACCAAACACAGTTCAAGGGCCAGGGAGTAGAAAATGGAAGACAAAGGTAATGCATTAAGGAGTCTCCACAACACCTGCGGTATAAAATGTGTCTGTATCTTTAGCATGGAAAAAAGTTTTGTATGATGCTTTCCATTTAACACAGTCACCAAAAAGATAGTGGAATGTCATCTCAAACGTAAACTAGCAAAAGAATTTAGCCATGAAATTCAAACGAGAGATCTCACTACCATCTGAGATACAGTTTAATGTACAGATTCTTGGAAATAAAGGCATAGTTTCATTTTTCCCAAAAAGGAAAATCTAAAATCTCCACAAGAAATATAACTTTCCTCTTGCAAAACTATGAGGAAAATGGTCTTAAAAAATGTTTTCAAACATAAATTCCCTGTAATAATTACAGAATAGGTCTTCTTTTTCACTGCATTACAATCAAAACAATCATAGAATCATATCGTACAATCATAGAATGGTTTGGATTGGAAGGGACATTAAAGATCATCTAGTCCCAATCCTCTGCCATAGGCAGGAACACCTTTCACTAGACCAGGTTGCTCCAAGCCCTGTCAAACCTGGCCTTCAACACAGCCATGGATGGAGCAGTCACAACTTCTCTGGGCAATCTGTGCCAGTGCCTCATCACCCTCACAGTAAAGAACTTCATAATATTTAATCTAAATCTTCTCACCTTCAGTTTAAAGCCATTCCCCCTTGTCCTGCCACTACATGCCCTTGTACAAAGAAATCTCTCCTCTAGGTATTGCACCCTCTTCTTTAGGTATTGGCAGGCTGCTGTAATGTCTCCCCCGATCTTTCTCTTCTCCAGGCTTAACAAGCACCTCTCTCTCAGCCTAAATTAATAGAAGAGGTGCTCCAGCCCTCTGACCATCTTCATGGCCCTCTTCTGGCCTTGATTCAACAAGTTCACATCCTTCTTGTGAGGGGGCCCCAACACTGAATGCAGGACTGCAGGTGGGGTCTCACAAGAGTGGAGCAGGGGGGAAGAATCATCTCCCCTGACCTGCTGGCCATGCTCATTTGATTCAGCCCAGCATACCCTGGCTTTCTGGGCTATAAGCACACACTGCCAGCTCATGCTGAGCTTCTTGTCAACCAACATTCCCAAGTCCTTCTCCACAGGACTGCTCCAAACCCGGTCTGTGGCCAGCCTTTATTTATGCTCAGGACTGCACCAATGCAGGTGCAGGGCCTTGCACTTGGCCTTACTGAACTTCACGAGGTTGGCATTGGCCCACCTCTCCAGCTTGTCAAGGTCCTTTTGATGGCATCCCTTCCCTCAAGTGTGTCGACCAAACCACATAGCTTGGTGTCATCGGCAAACTCGCTGAGGGCGCACTCAATCCCACTGTCCATGTCACTAACAAGGATGTTGAACAAGCCCGGTCCCAACACCGATCCCTGAGGGACACCACTTGTCACTGATCTCTACTCGGACATCGAGCTGTTGCCCACAACTCTTTGAGTGTGACCATCCAACCCTTACCCATCAAGTGGTCCATACATCAAATCCACGCCTCTCCAATTTAGAGACAACGATGTCACCCAGGACAGTGTCAAATGCTTTGCACAAGTCCAGGTAGATGACATCAGATGCTCTTCCCTTATCCATAGTATCAATGAAGAGGCCACCTGGAGACAAGTCTTAACTGTCAGACACAAAACTATGACATTCATAAAAACCTTGAATTTTGTCAAAGAAAAAAAAATTAGCTTGTAGAAGCCAAACATTAATTAAATGGGAAAACTGTAACTTATTTCTGCATTATAGCTTTGAACATGACAGATTTTTAATGAGTTGAGCAGATTTTGACATAGATCCTCAGAAGTATATTGCTCCATGAATTTTTTAATTTTGAAATACTTCTAGATGATGAGCTAGTCTAATATGAGTGCAGGTTGCAATTAGTTAGTCAAAGTGTAGAAAAGGAAACAAACATTTCTTACCTAGGCTATGATCTTCTTTTTTTCTGTTTTCCCATTTTGAGCTGTCCACATAGGCTGCAGAAAGAAGGTATCTTCTCCCTAATGAAGCAATAAATCACTAGGTAAGCCAGGTTGCTTAGACACCTCTAAACAGACTAACACTTTACTAGATATCACCTTTTTCTGTCACCTTTACTGAGTTGGATGCATTAAACTGTCTTATGACACAACTGTCAGAGGCAGACACTATAACAGTTCAGTTCCTTCTATGTGGATGAGCCATTACCTTGTCATATTTAAAACAGAAAAGCTCTCCCCTAAGTTTTTTTCAGCATGAAACAAATCTTTCTAAACTAAACTTCGTATTTAAGAAAATGATAAATTTGTAAACACAGAAAAAAAAACAAACAAGGAATAGCTTTTTTGTGCCCACAGGCCTTTATCATCAAATGCTAACAATTAGCTATATGTAGACATAAACACATAAATAAAAAAGCCAAAACAGCAGAATAGACACCAAAAAGCTCTTCTCCTGTTGTTGCATGGTTATTTTTTTCACCTGTAAAGAACTGTTTCAGCGGAAATAAAAAGTAGATGCTAATCTTGGAAATACTCCATTTTTGTTCATCTCCCTTTATTGCATTTCCTGTGAAATGCAAAGTTTGCTCAAATGTTTTTAAGCAGTTTTTTTTCAAATGCTATTTTGTGCCACTTTTGAAATCTGCTCAAGACATACTCTAGCTTGTGAAATGAAACAGAAAATGTTTAATTTGGAAGAACAAACTATGTTTGTGCATCATTCACAGATGATGAGGCCTTGAAAATGCATGAGGAATATGTGGATAATTTTTTTAAAAAGAATATAGAGAAATACATGCAAGGGGTTGTGGAAATCCATGTTAAGAAACAAGAAATAGACATTGCTATGCTACACAGAATTCTTAGCTAGTATCTTAAAGCCTTTATCTGCAAATCTACCTGCTACCACTAAAAGTTTGTCGTTCTTGTGTGAAACAATTTTTCTCCTTATCATTCTTATGACATGAAATTATACACACATATCTGAACATCTTACCAAGTTTTTGTCAAAAAAGACCAGCTACACTGCATTCCACAGTCAGAATGTGAAAAAAAACTGCAATGCTTTGCCAAACAGTTGGAAAGTGAGAAAAAGAGGCATTTTTGTTTGGTTCAAATCACAAAATCATAGAATCAGCTAGGTTGGAAAAGACCCTTAAGTGCAACCATTACCCCAGGACTTCCAAGACCACCATAAAAACCGTATCACTGAGGGCCTCATCTACACAGATCCTGAAAACTGCCAGGGTTGGTGATTCTACCATTTCCCTGAGCAGCCTGTTCCAATGCCTGACTGCCTTTTTAGTGATGATTTTTTTTCCTAATATCCAGTCTAGTTGGTAGGTTTTCTTTTGAAGCTATTTCTGATTACGTTCATGAAGGAGGCACACAAAAGATACGAGTTTGTGCTGTTCTTTTGTTAGAATAAACCTCCGTATGCTCACTCACAGCTAAGGACACCACTAGCAAGGATACGGCTTTAAAGAACTGTTTTCTATAGTACAAGCAACTGCCTCCATGACAGTGCTTTGCTCAGGTAAGCTGGAGGTCCAGTGCCGAAGCAAAGGGTGGGATTACTGAGACAGGGGCATGTAGATACCAGGAAGCAAGACTGTGAAATTCCTGCTGACGGAAGCTGAAAAGGCACAATTAAAGTCACCCATGATCCCAAAGGTCAGGATTTTTTTGAAAGGTGGCTTTAAAAACCCTAAATCTTGGTTGCGCTTTTGTCACCTGAGTTAGTAGGTTGTGCTGAACACCGACTGCTGCGGGTTCGGCAGCCCCCATACAACCCCGCGTGGCTTCCCGTGACCGCAAACGGCAGCTCCTATCCTACTAAGCTACGAAATCGGCAAGGTGGAATACCTACAAAGAACAGATTAAGAACACTCTCCCGCACCGCATGCTAGTGGTACGCCGTTCTCAGATCTGCCTGCACCTTTCTACATGTTTGTATAAAGGCAAAGTGGAAGTCCCTGGGCAGCACCCCGTGCCTGCTCACGCTTTGCGACCAAACAAGCGACTCAGCGACCCGTCCCGCCACGGCCTGTCCTCCCCGGTAGAGCCCCCACCGCCACTCACGGAGTCCCCCCAAGTGGGAGGCCCCGCCGAGCGCTGCTGCCGTCTGCCAACAGAGCACCGACCTGCGGCGGCGCCGAGGGCCCTCCTGGTGCAGAACACTCCGCGCCATAGCACGGCGGCGGCCATGCTGCCGAGGGAGGAAGCGAGCTGCGGCGTGGGGGAGGTCCGCGAGCGCCCCGCCTCCGGCAGATCGGGCGCAAGATGGCGGTGGTGCTCGGAGGCGGGTCGCGGCGGGTGGTGCGGGAGGCGGTGCGGCGTTCCGCCGTTCACCCGCCCGCCTCAGGCTGCTGGGGCTCGGCGCCTGGAGGTACCGCGGGCTGCGCAGCGGCGACGGACGGCGGGGTGCGCAGCTGGGGCACTGAGCTGCCAGTGGGCTGTGGCTCCGGCCCGGGTACTACAACTCTCGGCAGGGTCGGCGTTTGTCGTAACCTTGTGCCTGACGGGAGTTGTAGTTCCGGTGGGGGTGCCCTCAGCGCTGGGTACGGAGCGAAAGGGAGCTCTGAGGGGCTCCCGATGGGCCTTAGGGCGGGCGCGTGGGTGCTGTGGTGTACCGGGCTGGTGCGGCAGCGTTTTCCCGCGGGGCAGCGTTACTCAGTTTATCCTGTCTTTGCCGTTGGCTACGCAGGAGTCACCAAAACCCAGTAAGCATCTAGGTTCATGAATGCGGTTTTGTTCTGGGACAGCAACATTACCCAGGCGCGCCTGCTGGCTGTCGCCGCCGTGACCAGGTTTCAGAGGCCTTCCAAGGTGTTCCCTCGGCATGGGGAAAGGACGTGTCAGAAGGCTCCAGCATAGGCCACGTCTGGGTCTCTGGATTGCTGTACGAACAGCTGTCTGTGGAGGGTTTGCTTAGTTTACAGGTCTGTTAGACGCCTCAGAAACGTGAAGATGCCCCCTGCATGGTGGTCTGCCCACCACTTTTCACTGGCCTTCCTTTTAGAGAGTCACAGTGTGTCAGAAGTAAAGCAGGTTGGTCAGTTAATTTCTCTGGGATGGCCTGCACTGCCTTGTGTGCGCCAGCCATCATATTGATCTCCCTCTTTTTTTGCTCAGCAGCCCTCTTTGCACTAGTTTCTTTCTATAACACTGTAAAGTGTGTATTTAAGAAAGTAGAATAGAGCAAATTAATTTCAAGAAGGGTAAAAGTCTGCTGGTCAAAGCTCTCTTATCACACCTGTGGCTGCTGAGTGTCCATGCAGTGTGGTGTGTTCATGCAGTGGAGTGTGTTGTGTACCAGCCCAGGCACTGGCATGATTCCCGCATCAGCTTTCGAGAGGCCCAGGTCAGGGGTGGTGTTAGACCAGCTGAGTGGGTCTTTGGGAAGTGATGGCAGTATAATCCATGCCAGTTTCATGCTGGATAAAGTGTATTTGTTTACCCATTGAAACTGTTTCCATTAAATTTAATGGCTAAAGATGCCACTTAATGGAGGGGCGGTTTCTTCAGATTTTATGAAATGTATCATTAGCATGCTTAGCTTGCATAGAAAACAAGTGTTTTTATTTTGCTAGGGAAACACAGAAGGAGGAGAAATAACCTAGCTCAGGATAATACTTGCTCTTGTCCCTTCATGATTAGAATAATTCTTTAAGAAGCCAAAAACTTAAAAAGATTAGATTGTGACAACATAAACTATTACAGTGACTCTGTGTTAGAAAATCACTGGTTGCAAACAAAAATTTACTGGAGGGCTTTTTTTGTTTCAGCAAAAAAAAATCACAAATAGCATTTGCATGGCACTTCCGTTAAAGGAGTTTACAACACAGCACAGTTGAGGTCAGCACCCAAAGCTAATTTTGAGATTCTAGGTTCAGTGACTGTCTTCTCTGATACCTGTACTGCACTACAATTTTACTAAGTCTCTTGAGTGTTAATACAATCCAAATAGTAAGCTTTATGTTTTTTTCCTTTTGTCTTTCTACTGCATTTGGAGCTTCTAGAACAATACATTCTACAGTAGGGGGGGAACAGCAGATGTGAGGAGCCTGTGCCACTAGTGCATTGTGGTGAACAAAGGGAAGACATATCATTGTAAAAATATGAAAGGGGTGACATACCTTATGCTTGTGCAGAATCCTCATGTATCTTAGCTTCGTGGAGAGAAGTGTCTCTACTTTTTCTTTTGCACATCTAGTAAATACATACTTCTTCATCCTTGTAGACGTTAACTTTGTGAAGCTGAAACATAGTGCTCAGGCACTTTTGTCGGTCACATGAGCAATTGCAATTTTTGCAGCCTTTTTCTTAGTGTCATGGTGGCCCTGTTTTGGCATCACACAGTAATTAAGGACACTAATAAATACAAAGTTCAGTAGTATTAAAACATACAGTGTGACATAAAACTCTACCTTCATCTTTTTTTCTAGTGGTAGGAAAGAGGTATCTGCTAACGGAAGATGATATCAAGTTACAAGAATTTCAGCAGATGAAAGTGGTAATTAGAAATGAAGTTCATGGCAATAAAGGTATTAGTATTTATTTCGTAATCACCATTCTCAGTTTTGGAATAAGTCTAGGAAATAAGACAGTCACAGTCATTATAATGTGATATGAGCTGACCACATGTAAAACAACAACTTAATCTTGCAAATTTTTTGTTGCTAAAATTATTGGAAGATCTGCAGCTTTGTAGAGTGAAACAGTATTAGTTATGGTGTGCTGGAAAATGTGGAGAAGTTTTCAAGCATGCAGACTTTCGCGTAAGAAGTGTTTGTGCCCTTGCTTTTAATAGAAAATACTGTTTCAGTCTACAAATCTTGCTTCAAATATGGTATCAGACAAAGTTAATACAAAACCTAATAGCTGCTTAACTATCCAGAGAATGCCTATGGCAGTAATTCTCTTTTAATCTACTCTGTAAATTTAGTTAGCTTGCTCTTTTAGATTTGTTTCTATTTACCTAATGTAAGTTCTCAATTGTACACCCAATTCTAGGTGATATATACATACTTAGAATATGCAAAAGAAATTTAGGCTTTCCAAACTTACGAAGGAGCAAGATCAGTGGATCTTACCTGATAGGGATTTTTTCAAGCTGCTTAAAAAATAAACAAATTCCTTTCTTTAAGGAACATAAATATAAACATAAATCTGTCCTTAATATTCAAGAAAGATTTGGCAAAACTCCACTTCCTGCACCTGTTTAATCATGTGCAGGTGTTCTAGTGATTCAAATTGACAATTGTTCCAAAGGATGTAGTTAATTTTGGTTTTTATGTGTATGTCAAGGAAGAGACAAATAATCAAATTTTGTTTTGTGTAAACCAGTCTTCTGGGACAGAGTAGGAGGTAAACTCAACAGGACAGTTTTTCTATATTAAATGAAAGTAGAGTTTAAATCAGGCAGTGGCAAATCATAATATTGCTATATTATGCTGTGATGATGACATATTCACATGGGGGGATTATTCATCCTGCCCTTCAGGGAGGATGAATGTGATAATTCAAATGTATTGAATATTATGATTGAATATAACAAATTTATTGCTGTGGGTTAATCACTCTTGCTAAAACAGGTTTATAGAAGCCAAATATTTGACTTTAGAGGTCACAGTAGATCTTTTTGTTTTGTACAAATAGAAGCTTCCATGGACTAATTAAAACAATGTATAAGCACCTATCTGTGTGTATGTGTGCATGGTTTCTGTACTCTGTGTTTAGTCTAATACTTGAAAGCTGAAAAGAAGTAATTAGGGTTATTATTAAACTTGCTGTAGAAGCAGAAACAATATGTATATAGAAATTACACAGTATATAATAGCTATTAGTTATTATAATGCAACTATTAACTGTAATAGTTATTCTATTAACTACAGCAATTAAATGGTCACCTATTGTAATACAAAGACAGTTGAAATCCCAGGTATTTTTTGAATTTCTATGCATCTTTGAATACATTACAACTATTATATGCATACATCTATATACATTCTTCTGACTTTACAGGATTCAGCTCTGCATTTCAGCTTGAGTAAGGACTCGTATTTGCATGTAGCTAAGGACTTGCATTTGCATGTAGCAACAGATATGTATCCAGTAGCTGAATAAGTTGTTCTCTGGGGTGCTTACTTTATGCCTCTTGTGTAGGTTTTTAGCTTGGGAACAGCACTGACCCAGCAACTGTTACCAAAAAATTCACTTCCCTGGTCAAGATGGGGTAGCACCCTTAGAGGAATGGGGCTGCCAGGTGGTGCATGTGATTTTAGTCTTGGGTGTGTCTGAATCAGAGGCTTGAGATTACCAAATGAAGGACTCATCTTTGTGCTTGCTTTGTCATAGGAAAACGTGCTGGATAGAGAAACGTCTTTGGGAGTGTTGGGAAAAGGGCAACAACTCTTAAGGTTATGGTTATATATAGAAATACATAGATTATGTATGAGGTTCTTTGTGTTTGCATCAACCATGAAGGAATTTAAGTTTTCTGCACAAGCAGTGTTGAGTAGGCATTCCTATGGTCATTTGGAGGCTGAATGGGATTGGTTTTGTTTGTTTGCTTGCTTTTTTAAAAAAGAACATAAGGCAGAAAAAGTCACAAAAGGTACTTCCTCTTTAAATTTTTTTGTAGTACATAACATACACAATGCAGTTAAGTTCACAGTAAGCATCCTCTTGTTTTTCCAAGTCTGACATGACTTCACTGGGGACACCTAGGCATGAAGTTTCATGCATTTTTGTTGGTGAAAAAAAAACCCAAGCTTTCTGCCTCTTTAAATCTTCATGTTTCAGGTATCAAGTATGCAATGCAGGTAAAGGAATTGTCTATAGACTATTGCTATAATGTGTTTTATTTTCAGATCCGTATTTTAAAAGTATTAAAGAAAAATTAAAGAAAAATGAAATAATTCTCAAAACTGAATTAAAAAACTTGCTGCATTTATGTCAGACTTCATCTGATGTGGAACTAGCCAGAGAAGTTATTTACAGGTATTTTTAACAATCCAGGTAACACTCTTTTCTGTCTTATTTTTTTGCATTTATTAGATCATCTCAGGTTATGTCTCTAGTTGAAGGCTTACCCTAATTCAGTAGCCATATACATAGTTAATCCCCTAAACTAAGGCTGTATTTTATTTTGTTTTGGATCTTCCAACCCTTCACAGACTCTTAGATCAAAGGAGAGTCAAGCTGTAAGAGCAAAGTGCTTTCCTATTGTATGCAGAATGAACAGTGCCACATAGACGCATCATAGAATCACAGAATAGCCAGGTTTGGAAAGGACCTTAAGATCATCTAGTTCCAACACCCCTGCCATGGGCAAGGACACCACACACTAAACCATGTTACCTAAGGCTCTGTCCAGCCTGGCCTTGAACACTGCCAGGTATAATGGTGCGTTCAGTGGCGTTTTCCAGCCAAGCCATCCCTTGTTATGAACTGGTCTGGATGCAGTAGTGGCAGGTTTTGTGAATTAAAGCCTTCCCAACAATTGCAGTGTAGGAGTTACAAAGAAAAAAGTGAAACACTTTATTTTTATCATTTTAATTGGGGTTCTCTTAATGTAGGAGAGAAAAAGTTATTTGAACAGGTACTGCTGCTAAAATGGAATGCTGCCACTTCCTGTGCTATTGCTGTAGGGATAGAGGGTAAAGTAGCTGGAAGTTTCGTGGCAGAAACCCATTCTGCTATTAATCCAATGCAGATTACTTTACATATTACTGGTTAATTTATTAGTTTGATCAAAACAGTATTTTTTCCATAAAATTAATCTTCTGTTATCTAAATGTTGCTGGCTGGTGCAAATAGAGAAGTGTGTTTGTCACTGCACGTATGGATCTTGCTGTCTATTTAAACCTGTTTTCCCTTCACAAATTCCATGCCCTGTGCGATTAACTTTTTTTAATCTTTCCAATAGGTACCATGAGCAGAATGGAATCACATCCTTACATAATTTTAAATTTGGGCCACTCTTTATGAGGCTATGTTATGAGCTAGATCTTGAACGACCTGCAGTAGAACTTATCAAAGATCAGGTAATTCATATATCTATTTAGAAAATATTGTTGTTATTATTAGTCTTATGTGAGTAATTCATGTACTACATGAGCCCTGCATGAGCTTATAGACTTGAAGTATATGTGTTGCATTAGTAAGGATGTCTATGATATTAATGCAAGGATGCAAATTACATGGGGTTTACCTTAAAAATAGCAAGACAGTAATTAAAAGAAAACTAAATGCTAGTTTGACTGATAACATTATTATACTTCTGCCTAATTGCATCACAAGTATTGATTAAAAAAATTCTCAAATAAACACAGCTGATACATGCTTTCCTGCATCCTGTGATGCATTAGATTGTTCTTGGAAATGAACACTTCTGAGCTTTTACACAGTAGTCCTCTGACATCCCTTGGGTTGTTTGCACCAGCGTATGTATCTCATTATTTTGTATTTCAAACTCCCTCTGAACCCTGCAGTGGTGATGTAGTATCAGCTCAGGAAATTGGCCATTTTAAATGTTGAAGAAACTTAAAGGCTTGTTTCTGAACATCTGTAAAACGCTGTGTATGCTATCATGACAAGACAGGAGTCACACCCATTGTATAATAAATATAAAAGGTTCTGTGCAATAATGTTGTGTCTTCAAAAATCTCTGGCAGCCAGAGGAAAGTCACCTCTACAATGTTAATCCATTAAGGCATGAGATTTATCTAGCCAGAAATGGGAGAAGTCTCGCTTGTCCTGCTATTGTTAAATTCGGCACATGTAAAAGTATGTGTGGGTTTTGTTTCTTTTTTTTTTTTTTCTTAAGATCTATTTCATTGAGACAGGTCATGCAGTACTTAGTAACTAATGGAGAGTAAGCTAGAGTACCACTTCTTCAGACTGCTGCAGAAATTTAGACTTGACACCTCTGACATTTTATATGGCTGTTTCCAACACACAGTGTCATTGAAGCAGAATGTAAAATGTACTTGCTCTTTCTTCTGCTATTCTGTTCTCAAGCCGTTGTGCTGATCTGTTCATCATTTGATACCAATTCTTTTGGTTTCATGGTGGTGGTACCTTACACTAAAGATACTGTTAATGAGCTGCAAGCTGTGTTTCTGCTGAGATTTTGAAGTTGCCATTTGTCAGTGACTTCTGCTTGTATCAATTTACAAGTCACAATCTGTTATTTAAAAAATATGGTAGTGGGGAATCTCTGGGAAATTTCTGCTTAAGTTTAGAGAGCTTTTGACTATACTTATCACTGGTATTGATATACTGATATATATCATATATATATATCATATATCATATATATATATCATATATCATATATATATATATTGATATACTGATATATATATATATATTGATATACTGATATATATACTGATATATATTGATATATAATGATATACTATATCACTGGTATTTTAGAGGTGACTTGACAGAGGGACAGTCAGGGAACCCGGAATGTTAAATGTGGAATTTAGGAAGATGGGACTATTCCAGTAGGAAGACCTGCAAGATGCTGTGCACAGTAAGAGTGCTCACTCTTCTAACTTTCTTTATGCTTGCTGTGTCTGTTCTCCAGAATTTGCATGGTTTTTTCTCGGAGAGTACATCATTCCATATTTTGATGACAATGTTATTTAAAAAGGGCCATTTTGAAAGTAAGTACTCCTTTTGCTAAGGCAAATGCATTTTGAGAGAATGCTTCTCATTGTAAGTGTGTGTGTATAAATACATGTACATTTTAATGAATATTACTCATTAACCATTGGTTTATGGTTTCAAAGGCCAAACATCCTGTATATAAGTGTGGATGTGGATGAGCAGCACTGTAGGGTGTACTAAAAATGGAAGACTCTGTTTGTCATGCATTTCTACTGGTATTCTTACCATTCATAGTTGCACAGAACTGTAGTTGTCCAGGGGGGATTGTTTCCTAACCCCTTTTTTCTGAAGGCTTAATTTCTCTTTGGTTTGTAATTTCCAGAGCTTTTTGTTTTCTCTATTCAAAGTTTGGTTTATGCAGTTTTTTGAACAGTAAGCTCTTCCACAACCTTTTTTGGAAGTTTTGCATTTGTGTCAGAGCAGGGAAGAGTACCCTTTTTCCCTTGGGTAACAAAACCAGGCTGCAGTCTTTTCTTTGTCCTACTAGTGTACCCATCCAGAGTAGCTACTCCAGTACTTTAAGTCAAGTGTTTCAAATCATTTTGGTCCTTTTTGAGGATAATGGTGAATCATCTGACCTGACTGAAAAGACATTCCATGACAAAATCTTAAATTGAGTGTGGAGTAAGCTTTTCAAGCAAATCCCTTTCTTTGAAATTTGTTGAACACACAGTGCTAACTCTCTTGATGTTTGGCAAATCTGAGTCCAGAAGTCAAGACTGTAAAAACAACTGGATCAGAGCCTCAATGCAGTGTGGTGGTGTAATGGAACGTGTGTGTTACTGAGGAACTGTTAGTTTCCAAAAAATGATGGAAGCTTTGTTTATGTGTTTAAAAGGCTGATTTTCTGGGCAGTTGGGAAGAATAAAAGCAGCTTTGTCAAGTGTCTAGAATTTATTTTTAGATTTGTATGAAAATAATAGAACAGTAAGGCCAGATGCTAATGTAGATTGAAAACCTTCTTGCTGGCAAGAAATATTTGCATCCAACTGACTCTAAATTAAACTTTTTAAAATGTTTGGTTTTGTGTTGTTTGTTTTTTTTAAAGAACAGATTTCAATTGCATTCCTATTTTGAAATATACCTACTAAGATTATTCCGTGCTGATTTAATTTATTTTTTTTCCCTGTTACAAAATGTACAGCCTTAAATTTGTGAAGTGAATAACACTAATGTATTTTTGATAGGTGCTTTGGAAGTTCTGGTTGAAATGAAAAAACAAAGTATACCTTTCAGCAAAGAAACCTATCTAATTGCATTTGCAATATGCTACAAACTGGTGAGTATTTTCAATTTACATATGAAAAAAGGATTTGAAATGCCTTCTCTATGTCTTCCTTTTCTATGAAATTTAAAATTTCCCAGTCATTATTTCTTATCTAGCACAAATATTTTAGGCATATTTAAGTCCTAAATTGCTTAATTGAGTACACATGAGTTTCCCATGCAAACTAATGTTACAAAGCAAATCTCTAAAAACATATGTGGACATAAGCGTTGAAGAGCAAATTTGATACGCTGTGATAGTATTCTTTCTCTTGGATCCTGTGTACCTCTTCAGACTGTGCTTTGTGCTTGAGCCTCAATGTTGGTTTTACAGTCTGGCTTCCTTAAGAAACAAGGTGTGTATATGGTATGTTCTGTCAGACATCTCCCATACATTTTCCCCTTCCCCTCCAAGTAAACTTGAACCATTTCTGTAATTGCACCCAAACTTGACAAGGACTGTAGTTCTCAAAGGTAATCTGTTCCTGCATGCCTGATGGAAGTGGGCAGCTGAGTAAAGAAACCCAAATGAATGCCTTCAGTGAGGGACAGGCAGCCTCTTGACCTTAACTGTATTTTTAGCTCAGAGAAAAAGAGCACGAACACAGTAAGAAACTAGGCTACCTAGGTTCTACAAGTGTTTCCTTGTAACTGTTTCCCTTTTGTAGCAAAGTGAGATCCCCAGAGTTTTTTAAATGTTGATACTTCTCTCCAGATTTGAATCAGTTCTGCAATTTTAAATGCTAAGTTAGGCCTTTCCCAAACTCAGTAGGTAAGTATTCTTTAATTTCCCCATGTTTTTAGTATGAAAGACACTAGCTGAGGAAAAATTATATCACTCAACTAAACTTTCTCAGGTTTCTCAACTAACCATACAACGAAACTGGGTGCATATGTGATAAAAAGGAGTTGGCTTCAGATGGTAGCTCAGTAGTAATTTATATGGTGCTTTTGAAGTTCTCAGTCCTAATGAATCAGGGCTGCCTTTAGGTCAGGAATAGCCATGTGGCTTTGGTGTTTGGAGAGCGAGGCAGTAGACTGAGCTGACAAAGAGCTGCAAAAGATGTCTGCTGTTAAAAAAAAACTAGAGACTGATTATTACAGTCAGTTTAGGGTTGTTACCAGTTCTGTGTAGAAGATGCCTTTTTTTACTAAGTTATGAATATACAAAGACTCTTGACACTATGCTACAACCCAAGTTTATAAGCTGGTGTTTACTACTAACATCTACTGAGGCAATATTTACACTTCAGGGTTGCTCCTTGATAAAACACTGCCAGTATAGGTAAAGGCTTTCAGAGAAACTTACTGTGTTTCTCTGAGGTATCCTTTACTCAGTCTTTGGTAGTTTCTTCCCTAAAATCTTTACATAGTTCTTTTCACAGCCTGCTGTCCGAACTCTTGGATCTATGGCATGTGCAACAGGAAGAGGTTCCGAAGACTTTGTTTTCTACTACTTCTGGCCCTACCTGTGTTTCCAGTAGAGAATCTGACCCATCATTAGCTGTTTAGTGAATTGATAAAAATAGAGGGGAAATAATTCTCAACTGTCACCCAGTTGTTTTAAAAGCCACAATAAATATGTGGTGTTTGGGGGCTGGGTTTTTTTTTTGTTTGTTTTTGTTTTTTTGATGGGTTTGGGTTTTTGGAGTTTGTTGGGTTTTTTGTTGTTTTTTTTTTGTTTGGTTTTTTAATGAAGATAAAATACTATAAATAAGGGAATAAGCTGTAGTAACCCTTTATGCACTAAAGAGGATTAGGTGAGGCTTTTTGAAAAACTTAATCTATTGATCCAGTAGGTGGGAAACCATGAAGCTCAAAGGTTTTTTTGCTCATGTTGCAACATAAAAAACTTCATAAAAAATCTTGAAGGGAAATATCTTCAAGATACGCTACTTGAATACTGAAAATAATGGTGCTGGTATCTTACAGTATATTGACTTCTGATTGCCTTCTCAATGTGATTGGAATTGTCTACAGTCCTTTCATATCACAAGAATAGCAAGTGCCACTTAGGTTTGAAATTTCAATGCAGGACAACCTGGAATCTTGCAAAATCTGTGAGAAACTGCTTGAAGAAGCACAGCTAAAAGGTGACGCATTACCACTGCGAGCATACTGCTTTGCTGTGGCAACTGCTCTGAAGCAGGTACAGTACCTTTTGTTCTGATTTGTGCCTGAATCCCTCTAGTTTTATTTCTTAAGACAGTCAGTGAAAGGAAGCTAACATAGAGGAAGCATAACTGAGATATGTAATAACTTCTAGAATTTTTAGGCCCCTTTAAGATTATAGACAATTCCCACATAAAGTGAATGTAGAAATTCTCTAATCTAAACTGACATCCTGAGTGGAATGCACAGATATTTGGTGCTAGTGACAATGCCAGTAAGGGGAGTTCAGCCAGCAGGTCAGATGTCATCAGGGATGCAGTCCTTCAGATACTGCTATTTAGTGATGGTTTCCTCTAAATGTAATTAAAATGATAATTTAAAGTATGTGTACAATCATCTTTTAAAAATATGTATCTTGGGAGGCAAACTCAAAGGCTATGACATGTATTGTCCTACTGCCTGGGAGATGGCTTGCCTTTCTCCACATTTCTTCAGGGGGAGGTTTTGATATACCTCATGTGCCTGAGAGGCTCTGAGGCAGTACAGGGTTGAAGACCGAGCAAGAAAGTAACAATTAGGAAATTGTAAAGTCTAGTATTTCACCTACAGATAATTTGTGTATACCGCTTGAAGAAAATTCTGAACTTTCTCTGTTTCACGTCTAAACAGAGGCACTGTAAGAGCTAGTGATTTGTTGTTGTTAATGGATTTGAATGGATGCAGTAAAATTGTTATAATTTTCTTATGCACTCTCTGGTCTTTTTTGCACTGCCTCTGTGAACAGAGATACTGAACAATAGCATCATCTAATGATTTTTTTGATGTGCATGGTGAAATGACAGGGCATGTCACTGGCATTGAGGTTTAAAAACAAAATATCTGTCTCTGCCACAACGTGAAATATCCTTCATGATGTTGCCTTATATAAAAATCAGTTCTTGTTTTGCAAACAGAATAATGCTCCATGTTCCTTAAGCTGCATGATCTTTGATAGTACATCTTGCTGTAAGATATTTCTTGATCCCACGTAACAATGTATAGTTTAGTAAATGTCAGTGTAACATTTACTGTCTACACAAATCAGTTGATGGCACAGACACAGTACTGGAAATGTGTATGTCCAAAAGGTTAAAAGTGCTGGGCAGGATAAATACTCACATTAACATATACTGCAATTCGTTTAAGTACTCTGGCTTGTGCCAAATTGGGCACGTGTGTAGATCTTTTATCTTTTAGGTGCTCTCATGTTCACTGTTGGTTACATGCTTCTTTCCCTGGCTGGTCTGGCACAGGGAGTACTGTCAGTACTGTGCTAAAGAGCCAGATGACATGGGAACTCCAGCATGGAGTGTTCCTTTCACAGGCTGGATGCTGTTTGGAATCTGTGGATCTTGGTGACCCATGGATTGGTGAAGGGATTCTAGATGCTGGTTTGTGATTCACTGAAAAGTTGTGAAAGACTGTTGTTTTTCTTAAACTTTTCTTGTCAAAGTGTGTCCCACATGTTCAACCATATTCTTTTTATTATTTATAATTACTTCCTAGAATGATGTTTCACAAGCCAAATTTTATTGTTCCCGGATATTGAAAACAGAGAGCAGACTATACAATAATCTTAAAGTAAGTATCTTTGATTTGTATTAGGATCTTGCTGAGAATTATGCTGTCCTGGACAAAATACTCCCTTGTGCAGAGTAACAGAAGTCCAGCTTCTTAGTAGTACAGTCATGTACCAGTACTGTTGCTCAGCTTGGTTTTGAGCAAACAAACAATTTCTGTCAGTTGTACTGACAAAATTATCAATGCTTTCTGAATTGTTAACACCCTGCCACCATTTTTTTAAATCGCTTCCCACCATAGATGAGAATGAAAAGTAGACCAGTCCAATGTCTGTGAGTATGGGCTGTGAACAATTTCTAATTATGACATTGTGACTTTTTGCTTTCTTGCTACAAGAGATTAAAAGAAAACACAGTTCCAAATAAATGCCTTCCTTAGCTGTGTTCTGCCCACTTCAGGCCCCTACAGCCCTTTGAACCTTAACTTCATATGCACAGAACTCTTTTTCACTTTAAATGCATGGTCTAAAACCTGAGGGAAAGTCTCCTGCATGTGCCCTGTAAGTAACTTCTCTAAGCTGTGGGAAAAAAACCACCTCAGTTTACACAAGAACAGCTAATGCAGCTCTGCCAGAGGAGCTTTGTCTCCAGACTCACCCTTTCCAGGTCCTAGCTGCAAAAAAGACCCCCTAAACCTCTGTGGAAATCAGTCATTCCTTTGGCTTTCTTCATGATTAATGGATTTTTATCAGTGCAATGTCTAGAAATGTATTTTTTCCTTCATTGCTTCCTGTCTTCCTCAAACACGTTTGTTTCTTTAAATTTGCATTCTGATGATAAGTACTATTTGTGTGATTTCATTTTATTTTTAAGGTTCTTGTCCAGCTCAGATCTGGTTTGCTAGAAGAAGTAATAAGGACATTAGAGGCAGCAGTGAAAGTTCATACTCCTCCCTTTGTGAAAAAAATTGAGTTTTCTGAGCAGGTGGTAAGTGTACAGTAATGAGAGGAGGTCCATGGTGCTTGGCTGGGCCATGATGATGGTGGGTCAGTTACAGAACTTTAGGTGCCTGAGTTCACCCTAGTGAAGTTGTTTGGAATCTGATGCAGTCAGATGGCAAGGCTGCTGGCTGGCTTTCTGTGCTGTTGGATAAAGCACTTAGCTGCCCACTTCCCTTTATTGTAGATCTTGCTCTTAGGAGCTCAGATTTCATCTGAATGCAGATGAAGCGTTCCCTAGTGGCATTAAGTAATTTAATCCTTTGCCTTCTGTGCTGTTTTCATTTGATGTAAAAATGAGAATAAGGTTCTGATGACAGCAATATTGTTAGGTTGGTAATATTTGCAAAAACCTGTGATGCTACACAGGGAAATGTGATATGGGAAGTAATAACTTTTGCTATTTTACTGTATTTTACTATTCAAAAAAAGCTTTTACGATACTGATCACCAAGAAGACCTCCTTCAGAGTACATATGTACCCCTATCGGCTTGGAAGCATTGCTGCAGCTTTTCCTGAAACTTGTCTATGGAATAAGATATTTTTAAGACTATGTTAATAATTAAATACTTAGCCTTTCACTGCCGCCTATTAAACAAAATTAATAACTGATACATAAAATAACAAATACTAAAAAGAAGTAGTACACATCTTTCAAAACCCAGCCCATGTATGTTAACTGGTGTGTTGAAACTAAATTTTTTTTAAGCAGCATTTCGTTTTGTAAATTCACTGCAATAGATGTTGCATTTGTCAGTGCTGTATTTTGCTCTTGTTAGGCAAATTTCGAACAGTTCCTAAGAAGACTAAGCATTAGTTCTAATCCATTCCTTCCACAAAAAGTTATTGATAAATAAGAATTTCTAAGAGATACTTAACACTTGAGCTCAGACTGTATATGGCATACAGAACTTCTCAGTGTTCTATAGTCTGACTTTTTTTTTCACTTTTTCTGTACATTTAGTATGATACATAACAATAACTAGAATTGTGCTGATCTGGAAAGTAAATTACAGGAAGCAATTAATGTTTCCTGGGTTTGAATAGAGAAAGAATTGTGATAGTCTGTATTAGGAGTGAAAACTGGACTGTATATTTTGAGGAAGCTTTAAATCTAACAAATTCTCTCTAATAGACAGCCAGTGCATTTCCACCATTGTTTGGTGATGTATAATGTGTGGTATTGTATTTGGTGGTGCATAAAATCCTCTTCTTACTAGTCACTGTGTTAGCCACATATATTGTGTGCCTCTTTTGTTTTCTTTGAGTGATTGCTTGCCTTCAGTATGGTGGTTGAGTGAGATCTTCACTTGCTGAACTGTAAGTCTGTCATTTTCTCCTCCTTAGCTGGCTGCAGTCAGGGAAAAGATGGAAGAAAACGCCTACCTTTCTGCCAAATTAAGAGATATTCATATGAAACTACAAGCTTCAGGACAGATAACCATGTGCACGCTAGAAGACATGCTTTTCCAGATTCCTAGTTCAAAGAAGATCCCTGCAAAGCTTTTCAATCAGAAGCTATTGGGCTATCAAGCTGCTAAACCACTTTGGGTGAATCTATTGTTGGAATAGTTGAATATATGATGGCACACTGAACTGCTGTTAGCATCTCTTAGAAGCCACATTCAAGTGAAATGTCTTCTCCTCTCCTCCAGAATGAGCAATTGTTTGTTTGTCTGAAACTGCACATCATGTGTGAAAATACACATCATGTAGCTTTCACATTTCAATTTTGATGATAAAAACAAGCCATGACAATGTATATTTGTGTGTTGGTCAGAAATGGAGTGATATAATGGTTTGAAGTTTTTCCCCAGGCACTTTAATCAGAATTTTCCTATGCTAAACATCCTGATGGAAATGACCAGAATAATTTGTGTGTCTGACCTGACTTGTGGTTTGTGGGAAGAAAATTCAGTCTTTGTCAGATGTAATGTTCTGACTAAAAGGACAAATGCAGTCCAGATTCTAGATAAGAGAGTACAGAAGTTAACTGTTTATTCAAATTCTGTACATCTCAGGAGAATCAGCCTCAGTTGGAAATTATTCCGGCACTTCCAGTATGGAACCTTAAGTAGCTCCCAATTTTTTCTCGACACATAACTTTGATAAAGGATTTGTGAAGGTTGCTTGCAGTGTGGCAAGGATTAGTTTAAAAAAAAAAAAAAGAAAATGTGTGAACTACTATTGAATTTACTTGGTTGGCTAGTACTATCAGGACAACTGTTTGATGTAAAACTACATTTTTATTGGCAATAATAGAAGATAGTTTTATCCACTTAGTATGTTACAAAGCAAATATATAAGGTGTTCCTTTATTGTGTTCCATTATTTGTTCTCTTGACTATTTGCTTTCTTGAGGCTGATTTACTCAAGCTATAATCTGTTATTAGGAAGCACCGTTTCTTTGTCTTGAGAGAGAAAGGCAATGCCCTTAAATAACTAAAAATAGTAGGAAAAGAAAGCAGGAACCCAAGAAGGGTAGGTTCAAAGAAAAACACACACAAAATTCAGACAATTAAACATGAAAATATTGAAGGTTGCTCTGGAAGTGTTGTAGAAGACTGGTAACATCCTCCGTTAGGAAAAAAGGGAGGTGAAAAGAGTGACTTCTAATATTTATACACATTAATTCAAACAAAGTCTGATTTGTTTCATTCAAGTTGCACAACAGCTTGTTCATCAGGGAAGCTTGGATTTCATATGTGTTTACAGATTTACTTTTTGGTGCATCCAGGTCCCGAGCACACTGGCTCTTGTGCAGAAGATTCTTCAACCATATGCTTAGTTAAGCATGCTGAAGTTTGGTTGGCATCTAGTTTCCTAGTGCCCAAGATCAGGAAACCAAACTTTTTCTGGGTTGGAGTGGCTGGAATGTCCTGGGTTGAGTCACTAGAGAGCATTTCTTGGGGATAGCCACAAGGAAAGATACGCGCTATATTATTGCAGCCAGTGGTATAGTTATACTTTGCTTATATAGAGTTTTAATCAAGGATGAACCTTGACATTCAAGAGAAGCCAACGTTGTGGAATTCAGTTAATTATTTGGAGGGAAGGGAGGGGAGCAATATGGAAATAAACAAGGCATATTTCAAAGGGAATTGCTGCCCTTTTTTTTCTAGGTTTCACTGCAAAAGACTTCTGTAGGAAATGCTGCTTGAAATTTATGTGGTATCTTAAATGAGGATCTGAAGGATTGCTGTTTATCATGTTCAAATATTTTTCCTGCAATAAAAGGAAACATGAGTTTAGAGCATGTGCTGGCGCTCCAGCAGCTTTTTTAGAACAGTGATCCAGGAGACAGCAGGTGGCGTTTCTTGATCATGCTTTCCTACCGACTCAATTTCCAGGGGTACCTTGCATCTGCGGTGTCAGCTGTGTAAAGGCAGGGCAGAATGAACAGTTTGCCCTATGCCTAACACAAGCAGTCTCAAAATGGAAAATCCAGGCATTAGTTCGCACCCCTGAGTAGTTGGTGATAGGTATAGACTGCAAACGTATAGATTTACAGCATTTTATTTGAAACTTACTACATTTGTGAAACAATTCATCTTTGCCAGTGATCATAATGCAGTTTTTGGAGTATTCTGTGGAAATACTGATCAATGACGTACAAGACAGGCTGTTGATGTTACTTCTAATATGCCAATGACAATTATAAGGCTTACTTTGCTGTACATCTGACGAGAAAGTTGGGCTTTTTCCAGCTTGAATTATAAACCAATTTGTTTTTACATTTATGTGGCATCTTTGTTGTATGCAGTCTTCAGAGGGCTGATACTCCTCTGCTATAGATGCTTCTGCTATTCTCCATGGGTTAATACCTCTTTCATATTCCTTTCGACAAGCATCTTGAGTCTTGGTAAGGAAGGAGCACTTCCTCTGTGCTCCTGTTAATCTTGTGCTTCAGAACAATGAAAATGAAGGTGAAAGGCTTAATCGATGGCTTTCTAAAGAAAAGGTTTTGTGTACTTAATGCACCTTCTACATAAGCTTAAATAATTTTTTTTGAAACAAAGACTTGTTAGAACTTTGCAGCAGTACAGAAAGTAGGGCATCCTATAGTGTGTAAATGCAGAGCTATTCAACGTTGAGTTTGGTTTTGGGGTTTTCTTTTCCTCAGGGTTGTTTCAAATTGCATCCTTCTAAAAATTTTTATTGCAAAATAACAAAGGACTTGTTTCTTTCTTTGTTTTAAAGCTGCATCTGTTGTGGCAGCTTACCCTTGTACTGCCACATACTCATTAGTAAGTTTATTAAAAGTAGATGTTGCTCATACACCCCTTTCCTCCTTTCTTTCTTTTCTCCTGCTGCTTATGAACAGTATCTAGAACTCAGCAAGTGTCTGATTGTCTGCTTCCTTTCCAGGATAACTTTTGAAGTCACCTTATTTTCATCTGATTGGTATAGTTAAGCAGCAAGAGGGGCTAGGTAGACTTAAAACTACTACTGATACTAGCTTCATTTTTTGTGATATGAGATATAATGCTACTTACACATCTATCTTTGCTCTTGCTATTGAAGATAGGTAGATGAAGACCTTTCAGGAGCTTTTTGTTTGTCTTTGCCCTGCACAGTTGTCTAAGCCTCCTAATGATTTCAGCAGCACATGCAGTGGAAACTGGGGTAGTCTGACTTCAGCCCCCCAAGCACAGATGCTGGGTTTTGCGAGTATTGATGCTCTAACTACAAACTCTTTTGTATGCTTGTCAGGTAAGGTCAGCTCCCAAATCCTTTTGCCAAGCAGCAACTCAAAATAAATGCAGGAGCACTGATGCCAGAGGGAAGTTGATTTAGGGACCATCTGCTCAAAACAGACATATGGGATCAGAACCTGCTGCACCTGAACTTGGTGTCTACATGAAGAGTAAAAGTGGTATGACAGTTACAGGAGGCTTCCTTCTACTGAGATAAAGGCAGCGATCTGACAATCGGGAAGTTGGGGAGATGCTGCCCAGGCTGGAGAGAAGAGTTGAAGACACAAGAGGCAGAGCAGATAGATGCACCTGTGAGACAGCATGATAGGGGAGGCTTTCACACTTCCCCTATAAAGCAGCGTAATTTAAGACCCATCACAAATACCTGTACCCAAATCCATGTAGCATGGGGAACAAGCCAGAGGAAAGTCTATGCACAGCTACAGAGTTAAGACCTCATTAGGATCATGGTGATGTAGTGGGATACCTCTCATGACTAGAATGCTGCAAGAAAGACGGGGGTGGACAAGGACGGCAGAGAGATTGAGTTCTGTATAAAGGAGTCCTATACATTTCTTGTGGGTAATCCTTACTTGTGGGTAAGGATTAGAGAACAGACCAGTGCAGATGATGCTGCGATGAGTATCTGCTACATCTCATCTGATAAAGAAGAGGGGGCAGGTGAAGCACTCTTTAGGCAGCTGGACAAAGTGTCAGTCACAGACTCTAGTACTTGTCAGTGACTTCAGCCACCACGCTGGAAGGGCAATAAGGCTGGACGCAAGTGATCCAGGAGATTTCTGGAACACGTTGAAGATAATTTCTTGATGCACATGACTGATGAACTGGTGAGAGAAGGTGATCTGTTGGACCTGCAACTAACAAGTGAGCAACAGTTGGTGATTAGCCTAAAGGGCAAGAGACTTGCAACAAAAGTTGCATGAGTGGAGTTTAAGATCCTGAGAGGAGTAACTTGGATCCGGGACTTCAGAAGAGTAAGTTTTGGCTTGTTCAGGGAAATGCTTGGAAGATCCTATAGGAGCCATTCCTTGAAAGAAAGGGGCCTGGGAGACCTGGTTGATCTTCAAGAACAGCCTCATCAGAGCACAGGGATGGTCCATCTCAATGTGCAGAAAGTCAAGCAAGCTGGCAAAAGGCCAGGATGGATGAACACAGAGATCCTGGCTGAGATCAGACACAAGACACACAGAAGTTGTGGAAGGCAGACGCAGGGATTGTGAGAATGAAGACCCTAGGCTGACTTTAGGAGAGGATCTGGTTCGAGACCATCTTAAGAACCTGAATGTACACAAGCCCATTGGACCTGATGAAATCCATCCACGGGTCCTGAATAAGCCTCTGTCCATCATATTTGAGAAATCATGGCAGTCAGGTGATGTTCCCGACGACTGGAAAAAGGGAAATATAACCCCCATTTTCAAGAAGGGGAAAATGGATGACCCAGGGAATTACAGACCAGTCAGTCCGGTCAATTGCTGAGGTGAGTAGCTCGAGAGAGGACGCCTTCAACACCGGAGCGGGGGGGAGTTCAGCGCCCAGGAGCCTCAACTCAGAGCGACAAGAGCCACCGAGGGAGCCTCAAGTCCTCGACAGGACCTGCCCGGGAGCCGGCAGCTCCGCTGACGAGAGCGAGCAGCTGACTCACAGGGGGGGAGCCAGGAGCAGCGGCACCAGCCCTGGCTGGGTAAAAACCTGCCCCAGGGAACGCGGCGAACAGAGCGGGGCGAGGCGGTTCTCGCGGGCAGGCGAGCGGGATGGTGAGCGCTCGGCGTGTGAGCAGGGCCCGGTCCGGGAGCTCTGCTCTGGCTGCCCCGGCGGTGGCAGCGGAGGCACCCAGACAGAGCCGATGAGAGGGGAGGCTGCAGTGCAGAGCTCGGGGTGTAGAGAGTGCCTGCACTGGTCTGGTGAGGGGAGGGTGCACAATGGGCAGGGCTGCACTCGTGCTCCCTGGTGGAGGTCCTCCTGCAGCAGGGGCTGAGCTGTGGGATGCTGTTAATAGGCTGCGAGATGTCAGGGAAGCTGAGAGGAAGCAGGAATGCTTGCT